GTGAGTGACATTTTGCTCTAGGCTTACTGTAGTTTTTTTCTCATCTGTTTTTTTTTCTTATTTCAAGTTTTTTGAAAAACCTGGTGAGTTGTGTATTTCATCAATCATTTTCAAAGTTTGTTTAATGATTCCAGTGTCTGTACTTTTCTCTCTAGTCTATTACACTGACATATGAATGTGTGGAACCATAATAATAGCTGCATCATGTGTTTTGAGCAGCTATATTTAATGATTGTATTAACAACTAAACAGTGAGACTATGGGTATCTTGTGTGTGGGAGATCTAAAGTAATGTTCCTATCATATTTCATAATAAATTAGTATTTTGAACCAATGCTTCTGCAAATGCAAGGCTTCTTTAAAGATATGAACGCAATATGCAAAGTTTTGAAGATTGGACAGCCTGTGTTATAAATAATGACTGTTTTGAGTTTTGTGTCTAGAGTTTTGAAAAATGACATGAAGCTTCTGTTATTAGAGCAAAAATTATTGTAAAAAAAACTGTAACTCACACTTACAGCCGTTATATCAGAGATTACTAGATTCATATCCACAGATGCCTCTTATTCTCTCAACTGATCCTCCATGATTGTGCAGATGTTCAGCTTCAGATGATGAACTGTGTGTGAGTGTGCGTCTGTGTGTGTGTGTGTGTGAGTGTGTGTGTGTGCGCGTGTGCGTGTGTGTGCGCGTCTGAGTGTGTGTGTGTGTGTGTGTGTGTGTGTGTGTGTGAGTGTGTGAGTGTGTGAGTGTGTGAGTGTGTGAGTGTGTGAGTGTGAGCGCGTGTGAGAGTGTCTCTCTTCATGTTTCCAGACATGTGAAATCAGGCCAGCGTTGGATGGAGAGAAACGCAGGAATCCTGATGAAAGTAGGTCAAGCGTCAGTATCTCTAATGAAGCGTCTGTAGAGCTCGAACCCTCCGCCTGTCACAATATGATCAATAAACCCTCTCGTTAGGCTCAACATCTCATGATGTGTAGCTAAATAAGCTGCTTGTCAGGTCGAACAAAAGCATGATGGTCTGCGGTAAGCAGTTAATGAGCTGGTCAGACGGGTCGCTCGGATTCCAGCCGCCTTGACCTCTGTCTGACCCGTCAAACACAGCAGAGTCTCACAGAGCGCAGATACGAGCTCATCTAATTAACACAGAAACATCTGAGACTAAACTGAGCTTCACAATCAGTGTCATCACTGACGTATGGAAGCTTATTTACGCCACCGAATGAAAAAGTAAAAAAAAATAAAAAATTCTCAGAATTCTTAATTTATATCTCACAATTCAGACTTTTTTATTTTATTTATTATTTTTATATACTTATTGTAAACTCAGAGTTCCAAGAAAAAAGTCAGAATTGCAAGATATAAATTTAGAAGTCTGAGGAAAAAAGTCATAATTGTGATATGTAAACTTGCCAAAAAAAGTTAGAATTGCAATATGAAAACTTGCTAAAGAAATCAGAATGATGTGATATAAACTTGCAAAAAAGTCAGAATTGTGTGATGCACAAACTTGTGAACAAGTCATAGTGATCTTAAAGAGTCTCTCATTTGTTCAGGATGAATGTTTGAGCTTGAATCCGTCATGTTTTATACAAATTGAAAACTCACATTATCTCATGTGCAGTACTATTGTTTATGATCTATATGGCAGTTATCTGAACTGAACTGTGGGTATTTTCCCTCTACATCAGACTTTGGACTGGTTTCACTTCACGATCAAAAGGTTAACCTGAAATAACTGGCCTGCTGTCGATTACAGGAAAGACACAACCAACTGCAGACGCCACACGAGCGCGAGATGTTTGCTCAAGAGCTCCTCGGCTATTTCAGGGTGAATATTTTTAAGGTCTTCTTGAGAATTCACACACGCCTGATATATTCTGACACGGGCTGCGAAGACGAGGACGTTTGATGCGAAGATGGAAACCTGTGCTTGAGTGCTAAATGTGCTGTTGTCTTTGTGAATCACGTAGAATCTGTCTTTAAACCAGGCATTTTCCACCGGTTTGCACACACACACACACACACACTCATACGCTCTCTCACACACACACACACACACACACACACACGCACACACACACACACGCACACACACACACACGCACACACACACACACGCACACACACACACACGCACACACACACACACGCACACACACACACACGCACACACACACACACGCACACACACACACACGCACACACACACACACGCACACACACACACACGCACACACACACACACGCACACACACACACACGCACACACACACACACACACACACACACACTCACACACACACACACACACACACATTCACACACACTCACACACACACACACACACACACACTCACACGCCTGCAAAGCAGAGGCGCGTTTGTGCAGCACACCTCTGTCCTAGATAGATCTCTGTGGTTTTCCAGGTTTAGCAGCTCTATCTCTTCAGTCTGGAAAGATAAAACGCCTCCTGCTAAACATGTTCAGATGCTAGAAAAGCACCTGCCGCTGCACTGGCTGCAAAACACTATTTGATGCAAATTCACCAATTTCCTCCCTAGTGAACAAAAGGTACAAGAGAGACGACTGCTTAGATATCACACCACAGCGCTCTGCTCTCCAGCAGCACGGCGGGAGACGTTATTATCATCGTCTGTGTGTTTGGCAGGATTTATTGAGAGATGTGCGGCAAGTCTCAAATGGGCTGTAATTGCAGCTGAAGACTGTGTTCTTCTCAAAGAGCTTCTGATGCTGCTGGGAACTGTGGGAGAATGGCCTACAACCACAGACGCATCTTCAGCTCCGCTTTAACACTTCATGAACCCACAGACGTCTGGACCGAGCCGACAGGAGGAGTGATGGGAGAGACTGATGACAGACTCACATGAGCAACATCTGAAACCTGACTGCCGCATCTAAACACATGGAACATGAACCATCAAAAACAGATCTGGCCATCGATCTAAATAACATCTGACCATATCTATCTGTTTTTACACATCCATCCATCCTCTGTCTATCCATCTTCCATCTATCCAACATCCATCTATCATCCTTCTATCCAACATGTACTGTGACATACTGAAACAGAGCACGATCCCCTCCCTTCGGAGACTGGGCCGCAGGGCAGTATTCCAACATGATAACGACCCCAAACACACCTCCAAGACGACCACTGCCTTGCTAAAGAAGCTGAGGGTAAAGGTGATGGATTGGCCAAGCATGTCTCCAGACCTAAACCCTATTGAGCATCTGTGGGGCATCCTCAAACGGAAGGTGGAGGAGCGCAAGGTCTCTAACATCTGGAAGAGGACTCCAGTGGCAACCTGTGAAGCTCTGGTGAACTCCATGCCCAAGAGGGTTAAGGCAGTGCTAGAAAATAACGGTGGCCACACAAAATATTGACACTTTGGACCCAATTTGGACATTTTCACTTAGGGCTGTATTCACTTTTGTGGCCAGCGGTTTAGACAATAATGGCTGTGTGTTGAGTTATTTTGAGGGGAGAGCAAATTTACACTGTTATACAAGCTGCGCACTCACTACTTAACATTGTAGCAAAGTATCATTTCTTCAGTGTTGTCACATGAAAAGATATAATAAAACATTTACAAAAATGTGAGGGGTGTCCTCACTTCTGTGAGATACTGTATATACAGTGGGTACGATGAAAAGATATAATACAATATTTACAAAAATGTGAGAGGTGTACTCACTCATCCATCCATCCATCCATCCAGTTTGTATTTATATTCTTAGACTGATAAAGGGGTCATATGATGCGATTTCAAGTCTTCCTTTCTCTTTGGAGTGTTACAAGCTCTTGGTGCATAAAGAAGATCTGTAAAGTTGCAAAGACTAAAGTCTCAAATCCAAAGAGATATTCTTTATAAAAGTTAAGAGTCAGCCACGCCCCCCTAAAACGGCTCGTTCTGCTCATCGGAACACACGCAAATGCTGAAAGACGGAACCAGCCAATCACAGACAGCGTTCGCTGCTGACGCGTGGCTCAGAATGCTTGTTCAGGTAGAGCTGCGTTTCCCAAAAGCATCAGAAGCATAAGTAGATCTTAAGAAACCGTTGCCACATTATTACATTACATTACATTGTTACTATATATAACATTCATTCTCAAAAATGCATCACGATTTCCACACAGATATAAAGCAGCAATAATAATAAATGTTTCTTGTTTCTAAGTTTAGTTTAGAAGTATCGGTATCGGTATCGATATACGGGGCTTGAAAATATCGGTATGGGATCGAAAATAAAATAAGCGGTATCGCCCATCCCTACCGGACAGGGCATCACAGTATGTGAGGGGCGTAACATTTCCGTCACACGCTTGAGGTATTCGGCCAATCACAACGCACTGGATAGCTGGCCAATCACAGCACACCTCGCTTTTCAGACCGATGAGCTTTGTAAAAAAACGATGCGTTTCAGAAAGGCGGGGCATAGAGGAGAAACAATAATGTACAGTATGTGGAAAATAATGTGTTTTTTTAACCTTAAACCGCATAAACACATTTCATTACACCAAATACACAAAATAATGTTCTTTTTAGCATCATCACATGACCCCTTCTGTTCTGAGACAAATGCCACATGATGTCACTTCCTCATATTTGACCCATATTCTCAGATTTCAGTTTCTCCAGGTCATCTTCCTTCTGCTAAAATATTCAGATTTAATTGAGCTTTTAATGAAGTGTTACTGAATCATAATAATAGAACTTATTTTTTTTTACACATTGAACTTAATTTCTTTGTAAAAGGACATTATTATTTGTATGAATGCCGCTTCACATGCTCATTATTATAAAGTGACGCTCACACAAAGAAGCTCAAAGTGATGATTATAAGTATTTTTAATGTCACACTGTTAAAGCAGCCCCGTGCTCTTCACGCATGCCCCGTCTCAGCCAATCAGCGCCGCCGCCTCGCTGTCACTCAGACGCCGGATCCAATCAAAACCCGGCGTGACGTCAGCGCCGCAGTGAGAGGGTCGAGGGCGTGAGAGCGCAGAGCTGTGAGGCATCGTTTCGATCAGCCTCCGATTATTGATTGTGATTGATCCATCATGTCCGCGCTGGAGGAGTACGAGCGCGCGCCCAAGCGCCTGAAGGTGTCCGGCGAGGCTGAGGATGAGGAGGAGCTGGAGGAAGGCGAGGAGTCAGACTCAGCATCCGCGGGGCTCCTGGGTGACGATGAGGAGGATGAAGGGCAGAGCAGAGCGCGCTGGAGCTCCGCGGAGAGGAAGGTCAGAGCCGCATCACTCTCAGTACTGAGCACTAGCATCAGCATCAGCATCATCAGAGTAATAATTATGCAGAGAACATCTGAATATACATTCATTAATATATAGTGCATGATGCCAAAGCACTGCAAAGAGAGAGAGAGAGGGAGAGGGAGATGATAAACAGGAACAGAGCCATTCAGTGACATCAATAAGATAACAAATACATTCCCCATAAGATGTCATGTTATTATGAATTCATAAATCAAGCTCTTCAGCTGTGCATTCAGTGTAGAGAAGTCAGCAGCAGTAAATATAAAATAACTCAAGTAAACAGATCAGCGCAACATATATGGAGTGCACTCATCTCTTTTCTATTAAAACATGTAAAATAGCATATTCATAAATTAATTCACAGTGTTATAACTGTACGTTTATAATATGCACTTGATCTATTTTAACGTGTGCGTGTTTCTGGTCGAATTGTGATTATTGTTAGTAAAAATGATCAGTTTTGTTCAATTAAATGAACTTAAGGAAGTGTTCTACTTTTAATCTTTTTTCTACTAAAACGTACAAAACCCTAATCTGTGAATAACGACACGATCACATTGTTTGGTCAGAATTTTAATAAATTAATTTACGTACAAGATAAGTGTTCACTACATCAAAAGCATGACTTCATCTTTTATATTTAACCTCTTTTAACTCCGTTTAAAAAGCATGTCGTGAAAACAATTAAAGGCATGTTTTTGTTTTGTTAAATGCACACAAAGACTTGGATCATTTTCAGTTGTATGCGTGAACAATAATCTGCTTCTTTCTTACGACATTCATGCAAAGTATCAGATTTGATCAGATTTAAACAACATCTCGGCTTTTTTAAGCATATAGTCTTCATTTTTATCATCTGGACACATTGGCTCATTGGACTTATTCTAAGTCTAAAGGCCCGTTCACACCAAGAACGATAACTTTCAATTAGAGCAGGATTGATTCTGATGTTTTTAATCGTTCATCAGCTGGAAAATATTCGTTTCTCTGTGCCTTTATCGTTATAGCTGCGGTGTGGACTGTGCTATTCTTTAATAGTGAGAACGATTTGTAGAACTATATATTTATCGTTAATAGCTATCGTCCTTGGTGTGAACAGGCCTCAAAAAACATGAAAGTGCAAAATATCTAGTTTCGGGGACCATCCAGAGCCGACGTTAAAATCCGTAAACGCACGTTTAACCCAAAATGTGTTGTTCACAAAGATGCCACGTGCGCTTAAACCAAGTCAATAAAAAACAAAGACTGGTGATTGTGCACAGTGTTGCGAAAGTTGCTTTTAAAAGTAATGCACTGAATACTCCCGAAAAAAGTAACTAATTGTGTTTTTTTTCTCATCTGGGCTGCATGGGCTCATTTTTCGCTCTTCAGCACGAAACATTTTTATCTAAAGTCAAATGCGTATTCGAATGGTTGAACTGGATCATCGAATCTCAGCAGCAAAGACGTTGGTTAATAAAATGCGATTAAATACATAAAGGATCATTGTGTTATTTAACATAATTATCGCAGGTTTTGCAGATTCTGAGTTTGCATTTCACTGTTTTTAGTCATTTTGAGAAATACTGAATCTGTTTCTGTTTCTGTGCGAGCGAGATGAGTAAAAGCATGTTGACACTTAGTCCAGATCTACACCTCTGCACTCACTCCTGATTCTCTCAACATGAGCACAAGAGAGCTGTCAGTCAATACAGGAGAAACAAAGTATATCTGAAAAAGACATTTTCTTATAAATTAAAAAGTAATGCGTTACTTTACTAGTTACTTGAAAAAGTAATCAGATTGCATAACTCTGGTTACTTGTAATGCGCTACCCTCAACACTAGTTGTGCATTATCAGGTAATTAAAAATTAGGAAATTTAAACATGCTCAAGTAACCAACTTTACCATTTTTGTTGCACTTGATCAAGTCCAATACACGCAATTTCAAAGCATCTTTATAGAAAGTTATATTAGAGCTGGATAATAATATAGTAACATTTGCGATGATATAAACAATCAAGCAGTTGAGATTTGCTACATAGTAGCCTATATATTGAGATGGACTGACCCAGGAAATACCATGGTATGGTACACACTCACACTCTCACACACACACACACACACACACACTCTCACACTCACACTCTCACACACACACACACACACTCTCTCTCACACACACACACACACACACACTCTCTCTCACACACACACACACACACACACTCTCTCTCACACACACACACACACACACACTCTCTCTCACACACACACACACACACACACTCTCTCTCACACACACACACACACACACACTCTCTCTCACACACACACACACACACACACTCTCTCTCACACACACACACACACACACACTCTCTCTCACACACACACACACACACACACTCTCTCTCACACACACACACACACACACACTCTCTCTCACACACACACACACACACACACTCTCTCTCACACACACACACACACACACACTCTCTCTCACACACACACACACACACACACTCTCTCTCACACACACACACACACACACACTCTCTCTCACACACACACACACACACACACTCTCTCTCACACACACACACACACACACACTCTCTCTCACACACACACACACACACACACTCTCTCTCACACACACACACACACACACACTCTCTCTCACACACACACACACACACACACTCTCTCTCACACACACACACACACACACACTCTCTCTCACACACACACACACACACACACTCTCTCTCACACACACACACACACACACACTCTCTCTCACACACACACACACACACACACTCTCTCTCACACACACACACACACACACACTCTCTCTCACACACACACACACACACACACTCTCTCTCACACACACACACACACACACACTCTCTCTCACACACACACACACACACACACTCTCTCTCACACACACACACACACACACACTCTCTCTCACACACACACACACACACACACTCTCTCTCACACACACACACACACACACACTCTCTCTCACACACACACACACACACACACTCTCTCTCACACACACACACACACACACACTCTCTCTCACACACACACACACACACACACTCTCTCTCACACACACACACACACACACACTCTCTCTCACACACACACACACACACACACTCTCTCTCACACACACACACACACACACACTCTCTCTCACACACACACACACACACACACTCTCTCTCACACACACACACACACACACACTCTCTCTCACACACACACACACACACACACTCTCTCTCACACACACACACACACACACACTCTCTCTCACACACACACACACACACACACTCTCTCTCACACACACACACACACACACACTCTCTCTCACACACACACACACACACACACTCTCTCTCACACACACACACACACACACACTCTCTCTCACACACACACACACACACACACTCTCTCTCACACACACACACACACACACACTCTCTCTCACACACACACACACACACACACTCTCTCTCACACACACACACACACACACACTCTCTCTCACACACACACACACACACACACTCTCTCTCACACACACACACACACACACACTCTCTCTCACACACACACACACACACACACTCTCTCTCACACACACACACACACACACACTCTCTCTCACACACACACACACACACACACTCTCTCTCACACACACACACACACACACACTCTCTCTCACACACACACACACACACACACTCTCTCTCACACACACACACACACACACACTCTCTCTCACACACACACACACACACACACTCTCTCTCACACACACACACACACACACACTCTCTCTCACACACACACACACACACACACTCTCTCTCACACACACACACACACACACACTCTCTCTCACACACACACACACACACACACTCTCTCTCACACACACACACACACACACACTCTCTCTCACACACACACACACACACACACTCTCTCTCACACACACACACACACACACACTCTCTCTCACACACACACACACACACACACTCTCTCTCACACACACACACACACACACACTCTCTCTCACACACACACACACACACACACTCTCTCTCACACACACACACACACACACACTCTCTCTCACACACACACACACACACACACTCTCTCTCACACACACACACACACACACACTCTCTCTCACACACACACACACACACACACTCTCTCTCACACACACACACACACACACACTCTCTCTCACACACACACACACACACACACTCTCTCTCACACACACACACACACACACACTCTCTCTCACACACACACACACACACACACTCTCTCTCACACACACACACACACACACACTCTCTCTCACACACACACACACACACACACTCTCTCTCACACACACACACACACACACACTCTCTCTCACACACACACACACACACACACTCTCTCTCACACACACACACACACACACACTCTCTCTCACACACACACACACACACACACTCTCTCTCACACACACACACACACACACACTCTCTCTCACACACACACACACACACACACTCTCTCTCACACACACACACACACACACACTCTCTCTCACACACACACACACACACACACTCTCTCTCACACACACACACACACACACACTCTCTCTCACACACACACACACACACACACTCTCTCTCACACACACACACACACACACACTCTCTCTCACACACACACACACACACACACTCTCTCTCACACACACACACACACACACACTCTCTCTCACACACACACACACACACACACTCTCTCTCACACACACACACACACACACACTCTCTCTCACACACACACACACACACACACTCTCTCTCACACACACACACACACACACACTCTCTCTCACACACACACACACACACACACT